CAGCTTGTCGAGTGCCCTAAAGATATTTCTTATAAGAAAATATTTTCTTGAACTTCCGATATGAGCTCTATGCGTCTTGTGTTAATCAATAGTTCCATCTTTAAACTGTTGAATAAATAATGAAGGATGTTGACTTTGTATAAAGATTTTGGTTGATACTAATATTCCAAATCATTGCAAATGCTTCTAGATTTGTTTCATAAGAACAGAATGTTCTTAGTTTCCCACAATTTTCCTTGTATAAATTTAAAGGCTTCACTGCATTCCTGAAACAGAAAGAACTTTGTCGTGTAAAGGTATTTGGATGGAGATTTCTCATTTCCTTGTGTGATGAAATTACTTATTTATGTTATGTTATTCATCATCAAAACTTTGCTGCTCAATTTTTTGACGATGTAATAGTGTTTGTATGGTTTAACTTCAGGCAGCTTCTGTATGAGGGTTTATATGAAGTGTTATACTACTGAGAAGTTCATGATCAAGAACATTATATTTATGGGAGATACTATATGATTGTATCAGAAGATTGTTGTTCGTATCTGACAGTTTTTGAAGTCCAATGAGAATGCTGTACTAGTGCAGACTTTCTCAGACATATGAAATTTATTCTGTATCAAATGTATACTATGGTGCTAAACAAAGTGCATCAGAACTTGTGGGTACAGGATCTGTATCAAATGTATACTATGGTATGCAGCTACAGCTCAAATTCTTCCTACTGCACCTTATATACCTGTTCGATAAATATACACCAAGTCCATTGAATCTACATGCCTGCTGATTCATCATATTTGACTTTATAATATATTTGCTCTGCTAGTTCTCTCTAATGAGATCTGCTTGTTTTCTTGTTTTAGATTCTGATGACAGGTGTCTTGTGAATTTCCTATGCATCGAGCTAAGAACAACCGATCATCAACCATCAACATACTTAAAATCTTCAACCTGGGTAAACAAAGTAAGTGGCACATGACTCTTGATTTTCCATCACAAGCTGCAAGATATGCCCATATCCTACACTTAGCACTTCTAGGAGATTTGCTTGCTACTACTTTTATCTGTTGACTTGAGCACATGCATGCTAGGTAGAAGTAACAAAAGGACATAGCAGTATTTTTGTTTCTTTTTACCTAAAATCGTGAAACACAACTAAAAAATCTATAAAGTTAATTCGTGTTTTGAAACGTAGCTGTAAGATACTAGACTCTGAATAAAACATTTCAATGCCATCTTGTATTAGAAAGGTTACATGTACTCGCTAAATGTGTGATATTTTCCATCGGGATAATGTGAAATCTGGAGTCCAGCTAGCTTCAAGTATCTAGATAATTAAATTGCTTTTGTTGTGGGTCGATGTTGATCAAGTGGTTCAGTTTTATTTTCAGCTAGAAAGTAGCTAGATAATTAAATTATCTAGCTTCAAGTAGCTAGATAATTAAATTGCTCACCATCTTTTATAAAGGGTCTTCTTTATGGATCCGTTTGTACATATATTGATGCATTGCTTGTGTGCTTATGTTACACTCAGGATGATGAGGAAGAAGGTGAAGAAGGAGAAGAAGAAGGCTTGAGTAAATGTATAGGGAAGGAGTTGAAGAAGCTTCTGTAGTGTCATAGCCATTGTAAATAATTTATGTAAAAGTTTGTAAACAATTTATGTATCTCTCTATTATTTTGATGAATGTATTATTTGAATATAATGGGATTTGATATTGGAATATAATTACATTGTGTTGGATGTGAATATAATTTTTTGTTGTTCAATATTGTGTATATGCACTCAAAGTAGATTTTGCAAAAAAAAAAAAACTGTAGCATAGCATCCTAGACGGAAATTCGGTCTAGGATGCTCAAATTCCGTCTAGGATAATTGTTTTTTTGAAAAAAAAATTAAAAACATCCTAGACAGAAATTCCGTCTAGGATGACTATCCTAGATGGAAATTTTCGTCTAGGATACTTATCGTAGAAGGAAATTTTTTTTGTCTAGGATGTAGTATTCTAGACGAAAATCCCGTCTAGAATAATCCGTCTAGGATGTATTCTAGACGGTTTTGAATTCCGTCTAGAATAATCCCTCTAGAATGTATTCTAGACGAAATTTTCGTCTAGAATACTACATCCTAAACGGAAACATACTAGACGTGTATTCTAGACGGAATTCCGTCTAGGATACGCATTTTAGACGGAATTCTAGGTATCCTAGACGGAATTTTTCGTCTAGAATGCCTCATTATTTAGTAGTGCATACCATTTTATTTAGTAGTGCATACCATTTTTCCAACATGTCAGCTGGGTCCAAATTAACCATCAACAATTAAAAAAACACAATATATATATTTATAAATATTACCTCTATTCCTCTTATCTTACTTTACTTTTTAAAATTTTCAATATTAAAAATTTCCATTTCTCGCTCTATATATTCTCATTTTCCATTCTCAATTTCTCACGTCGGTTCCCATAAAACACTATATTTTTGTGAATATTCGTTCCGTCCCCCTTATCTTACTTTACTTTTTAAAATTTTCATTTCTCGCTCTATAAATTCTCGTTTTTCATTCTCTATGTCGCACATCCGTCCCCATCGGCCTTTCTCTTGAGCCCCCCCTGTGTGCGGGGGGTGGGGTTGGGGGGGATGGAGGATAACAAGAGAGAGTGGTCCAAATCTTTCTCATTTTCCAAACAGGAAAAAAATAAAAATTGAAACTACTTTCGAGCTCATTATTCCTTCAATACATTCATTCATCTACCTTCCATTTATCCCATCACCTGGTATTTTCCCCCTTACCCGCAGCAACAACAATGTCGAGAAAGAAGTAGACCACATCAAGGTCGAGGATATCTAATTAAGGGAGGAAGCATGCACGTCATGCGTACTTCTCCAACCACCGCGACAGCGTTTTCACTAAAGCCTTCGACCAGCCGAATTCTATGCAGTGCGGTTGTGGCGGTGATGGTCAACTCACCGGTTGATGACCCGTAATTCTTCTGTAGACGGGGGTGAAGGAGGCTGCTGATCAGCTCTCGTCCCGCAATCGGATGTCAACAGATGCGAACAATTCGTAAGTAAGAGTTTTTCACTGTTGACTAGTAAACTTACTTCACTGAAGAATCATAATAGCTCGATGAGAAAATATCTTACTAAATGCAAAGACTTCTTAAATTAAACGATAACAAATGGTGATAACGATCATAGAATACCAACTATTCTAGACACACAAATCAAAAGTATCTGTTTCTCAATTTCACCAATAAAACAGCAATAATCCCAATAGAGTAGAACCTGAAATCTTGGAGTATTATTCATAGACAGCTTACCAATTTAGCTAGTGGAAAGTTTCGTTTTTATTTCATAATATTTTATAATTCTCTTCATGATTTTAGTTCTCTTCCTTAGCTTAGCCGTTATGATCTGTTACGAACTGCACTCATTTCTCCCTTATTAATCAGAACCGGCGCCCATGAAAGGATCGCATCTACGGGCATCGGATTCTGCGCCGAAAACCGATCAGCAACCTCGTTCACTCCCGGGCTGCCGAGGGATTACGGGTTGCCTACGGGCGAGTTGACCACCACCGCTACGTCAGCACCGCATAGGGTCAGCAGGTCTGCGGCTTTATTGGAAACGCCATTCCGGCGCTTCGAGAAGCACACGTGGCCTGCTCCCTTGAGTTCTCTCTTCTTCTTTCTCGCCAATATGGTTTGTTGCGTCGGAGAAAGTGGATGTTTTGTAAAGGGATTAAATAGAAGCTGCGTATGAATTAATGAGATTTCCTTTTGGGCATTTTCGTTAATTTCTTCTGAATTAAACAATATATGGGTTTACGCGTCACGATTCTTCCTTTAAAAAATTGATTTATTGTTGGTGGAATAATTGGTAAGGATAATTTATCCATTGTATGCTAGGTGGCAATGGGTTTGTGCTCTTTTAGATCCAACGTATGTAGTTTGGAAATTTTGGAAGCACTTCAATAAAATTTTGCTATATTAGTTAACGATGCGGATCGATTGTAGGAAACTAACATCAGTGCATATTTTAGCGATTTAGTAAAATACGGAACCGATCTTGATATTTTACACCGAGTTATCATATGTTCTTCATACGTAATGAGTTGACAAGTACGGTAGCAATATTTAGCCTATACCGCTACTAATATTATTGCTATAACTTTCTTAGACTCTGCTTATGACTTAATTAACTGTATGAGTTTTATTTACAGGTATTATATATGTAATACGTCCTTACGTATGTACATACATACACAAGTATACGAATTGCTTAGCTGAAACAACATCTCCCTTAGATAGGAAATATAGGGCTCCGCTCACTGTCATCACTCCTTTTTTTTCTCCTTTTTAACCATTGCCCTGAGAGCAAAGATTAGCAACACCCAAATGGTGACCAATTATTCTAGTGATTCAACACAATGAGTAACGAACTGAGAAAAATAATTGAGGAACGGTGAAGATATCCTACAATGCTTGTGCAACGCTATACTCTGAATTAACTGTTATAGAGAATTATTCATACCTTCATTTCTAACGGATATATTTTTCTACTATAAATTAGAGATTAAGGAAGTATGTAGCTACTTCCGTACAGGGACATATTACGATAGTACGCATAAATGAACTAGCAAGTAAAAAGGCTATGACGTTAGATTAAACAAGGAACAACAATCAAATTAAGAAATACACCATTAATTATTTCATAATTGATACATACAATACTGATAAATGTGTATATCTCAAGATCACTACTGTATTTTACTAAATCGATCATTGCAATATACACTTGCATCGATGACTAATTGTAGCTATATTTTCCAAACTGCGTGCATTGGCTCTAGAATTACTCACACCCGTTGACACCCTGCACACAGCACATAATTTTATTCCTTCCAACTATATATTCATTCAAACATTCATCCATACTAATTTATTCCTACGCTTCTATTTAATCCCCCAATTACCAACGTAATCCCCGCGACGACAAAAATGGCGAGAAAAAATAAGGCAACGACCGGGGGTCGAAAAAAGATCGCGATCGAGAGGATCGCAAGTGAAGAAGCAAGGCACGTGTGCTTCTCGAAGCGCCGAAACGGCGTTTTCACGAAAGCCACGGACCTGTCGACCCTCTGCGGGGCCGAGGTGGCGGTGATCGTCAACTCGCCGGCTGGAAACCCGTACTCCTTCGGTAGCCCGGGTGTGAGTGAGGTTGTCAACCGGTTTCTGTCGAGAAATCCGATGCGAAATGCAGAGGATGTGTATCGGATGAGTAGGATCCGGGAGCTGAATGCGCAGTGCATGGAGCTCTCGAGGAGGCTCGATGAGGCAAATGCGAAGAAGGCTGAGATGGAGAGGAGGGTGAAGGAGGTTGTGGAGAGGAATGTGTACTGTAAGCTTGCTGAGGAGAGTGAAGGGGTTGGGGTGAGGGAGCTGAGGGCGGTGGAGGAAGCGATGGGAGGGGTTAGAATGCCGCATTGGCTACGGGTTTTATCGATAGATTGATCAGAAAAACGGCTATGTAGCTGGATATGGATTAAATGAGGCTTTTCGGACTTTTTTTAATGGTTATTGTTGTTTGTTTGATGAAATGAAGACCATTTGCTTAAAATTGTTAATTTTTAAGAACAATATATGTTAATTTATTAAGCACTTTCTTTAGTCTTTGACATTACTATTTCGTTCATTTCAGGAGGGGTGGGCCCCACTGGCACAGTGGGTCCCACCCTCTTCTCTCTGTGCGAGTTGGCTCGCGCGTTAAAGCGCGAGCCAAAAAGCATTTTTGTTTCCTAAAAAAAATAAAGAAATAAAAAAGGGGCTTAGAAATCAATTCTGATGGTTCCGTTGCATTTCTTGGAAAACCAAATTTGTTGTTTGTTTTGACTTGAAATTGATGCTGAGAAAAAGAGTTAGTGTGAGAAAACTAATCTCTAATTTATTTCAAATCCAAAGATTAGGAAATGTGAGAGTTGGAAAAGGAGAGAGTGTGGAAAAGTTGAGGTGACCAATAATTAATAGGATTGTATCAATTTTCTAGCCAATTCTTCTCCAAAAATTAGGAATTGACATTTCTTAGAGTAAGGGTACTTTCTCTACTTTATAGAAAGCGTCCTTTTAAATTCTGTGTGAAACATGTAGTATTAAGGAATTATATAATGCTCTACAAGTTACTTTTAGTTTTATTTCCTGGCTTTCCATGCAATTTCCATTTATCTTGGGCAAGACTGTCCTTTAGAGGCGGTTTGTTTTCATGCATTTTACATTCTTGCATTTTAAAAAAATAGGACCCACATGTTTAAAAATCATAGTTTCTTTTGCAAATACATTGTTAGATTGTTATTTTTAGTGCATGGATTTGGTGTTACCATATAGAATAAATGCATTTAACCAGATTTGTGAATTTTGGGGGTGTTTGGTACACTACCATTGTATTTATAGCAAATGTTGCATGTAGAAAATGTTACAGACAATATTTGTTACAGGAAATTAATCTCAAATCTCTTGTTTGGATATTTGCACTTTTACTGTGGCAGATGCATTTCCAAATACAAATTTAAAGTTTAGTTAGTCACAAAATTTGTTGGATTTACATACTTTATTGTAGGAAATACATTTCTAATGTAAATCATGTGTTTGTTTCAGTGTAAATGTGAAAAGATCTATAATTTTGAGTTAACTTCGGCTAATTTAATGATGTGATGGTAATTTTTAGGCTTTTTAGTTAATGCAAGGACTTACAATATTTGCTGCGGCCAAATTAGTTTATTCGACAAAATATAAAATTAAAATTAAAATACCATCTACAACAACCACATTGCAAACCAAACACTAAAAATAGAAATTTGGTTGCAACACTTACAGATGTAAAATCATTCTTGTCAACCAAACAACCCCTTAGTCACATACCTTCAATAAAATTCATGCATAACTAAATAAAATTTTATTGGATTTTATCTCTCATATAAATCCTCTTTAATAATCATATTAAGAAAACATAATTTTAATTAGAGGATTTTTAAAATCAATTACATGCATCAAGATTAATCAACAAACCAAACAACCCTTCGACGAAAAACTGATTTCATCTTCTAGTTCACCCCACAAGTGGATTAATTAATTACTTATAAAAAGCTTAAAACTCCTATAATGTTGGACCTAATGTTTGTATCAAGCCTATTTTTTAATAAGTGACTTCCCTAAATGTTAGTCCACGCCACTGTAGGCGTCAAAAATTACCGATAGATTGTCATATATAGCTCAAGATGAAGAGAAGACGATAAACGTCATTATCTGAGTTATAAAGGATCATCCAAAGCCAAAAATCAACTAAGGAATGCACAAAAAGCGCATCACATAAGTTTTGAGGCACAGAACATGTCTCAGAAACTATGAGAAAACTCATAGTTTCCGAGAGAGTTACGGCTGTCTCGAACGCTATGAAGGCAAATCATAGTTTCCGAGACACTTGCGACTGACTCGAAAACTAGAGTGGACTTGGCGATGATTTTCTCAAGTTTTGTACGATCCACGTGACTTCATAACTGTTGGAAATCATTCATAAACATGGGGAGTTGTTACAAAAAAAAATCATGCCCATAACTGCTAGAATAATAGCAATTAAATGTGGTTGAAGCAGTTACAAAACTGTTAGAAATGAGCCCTGTTTCCGAGACAACCACGAGTGTCTCGGAAGAGGTTCTTCGATACAGTTTCTTTTTAACTTCAGACTTCAGTTACGGTTCTTATGGGTTATAAATACCCTCATATGACCATTATTGACGAGGACAAAGGTCAAAAAGCAAAAAAGACAGAAAAGGCAGAAAAGGCAGAGACTTAAGCTGTGGTGATTTTGAGCAAGAGAGAAAGAGTCTTCATTGTTTTCAAGCACTTCCAAGAGCCTTCGGTGTTTCTTCGAGATCTAAGCTTTGACTTGATCTTGAGAAGAGTATTTTATCTTACTTTACTAAGATATCCACTTCTTTCTTTATTTCTAAAACGAAACATCGACCTTAAGCTTTCTTAACAATTCAACTTGGATCTGTGATTCTGTCATCCATGGGCTAACGCACCCCCGCCACAGGCAAGGATCTTACGCAAGCAGCGGGTGATAAACGTCCTCTGCATGTATTTCTAGGAGGTTATTTGTTTATGAGATTGGTTTATTACAAACTAATAATTAATGTTTTGCAACAGAGGAGAAGGTAAGACCCTTCTTGTTTAACGTGGGTTCTTCGATAGCGATAGGACGTCTCGCTCGATGCTTGTATCGAGTTTGCTTCCCTTAGACGATACGATCGATATCGTGGTTGGAGCTTCAGTATGCAGTAGAAGGTCCAATATGGTTGGGTTCGAGTGTACCTGAGGCCAAATAAGTGCTTGCGCTTATTGGCCGACTGTTTGGAGAGAACTACTATGCAAGAGTTTTGCAAAGCGCCTAAGAGCCTCAAGTCTGAGAGTTCAAACGAGTCTACAAAGAGCTATGAGCCTCAAATCTGAGAGTTCAGATCGAGTCTGTAAAGAGCTATGAGCATCAAATCTGAGAGCTTATATTGAGTCTACTAAGAGCTATGAGCCTTAAATCTGAGAGTTCAGATCGAGTCTAGTTCAACAAGGGGGCCTTTAGCAAATAAGCCAAGGTTCAACCTTCATAAGTCAGATGATTAGCCAGCTAAAACCAAGCAGCCAATCAACCCCTTGAACATTGGTCAAATGTAGCTTTAAATAGGTAAGGAATGACATGTGCCATCCCTTGATTTGTTAGATTTGACCACTAGTAGGGGTGAGGAGCACCAGCCGTCCTAGCTGCGGGATGTGACTGCTTAGGGGGGCTTACCAGCCGTCCTATCTGTGGGATGTGATCACCTAGGGGGTCCTATCAACCACCCTATTATTATAGCCATCAATGGCCATGCCTAGGTAAGGAGCACCATGCTCTCCCCCTTGATTTATGGGATATGACCACTGACGTGACTGTTCTCATACCCCAAGGGGGTAGCATGCTGGCGAGCTTAGGGCTATCATGCGAGCTTGGCCTTTAGGCGAGCTTATGTCTAAGGTGAGCTCGAGCCTACATGTGTAATGACTAAAAAATTCTAATACTGATTTAAATAATTTTCTGGTATTTAAATATTAAATATTATTTTTCTAAAACAGTATTTGTAATTTTCCCCATTTCTCTAGAATTTTCTACGATTTAAAAATACGGTATTATATTATTTTAATAGTTTTACTAATTATAAATTTAATTGTTTCGATAAAATTTTTAAATTAATAGTTAATTATTCATTATTGTTATTGTTACTATTATTTGATCATAAATTTTTAATATTTATTTGAATAAAAATTCTGATATTTTAAATTATTTAAAAGGATATTTTTACTATGTTTTTTCCTATGGTATTTCACTCTGTATCTCTCTCCCCTACATCACTTCCCCAATTGACTCCCTAATTCCCGCACACACTCACCTCGTGTTTCCCCCCTGATTCCCTCAAAACCCACGTGACTCTCTCTCTCTCTCACACTCAATCCCGGATTGGGATCCTCTACTCATCAATAGTGTTTCCTAATATCTCCTAATGTATCTCCACCCTTCATCTTGTGGCTAAGTACAAAAACAAAGGTGGGTCCCACAACATGAATGGTGGAGATACATTAGGAGATATTAGGAAACACTATTGATGAGTAGAGGATCCCAATCCCAAACGTGGTACTATAGTATATCAACCGTTAAGATGATGTGTCAGTCATATATTCAGACTTCGCATTGCCGACTCCATTTTTTCCTTGAGCCACATATTCACTTCGATACCCCTCGCTAGGAATTTTTCTTCCTGAAGGGGGTTAATTGGATCATTAGTCATTGTACTTATGACTTAATTAGACGTCCGAGCGCGGATTTGCAGGCGGCCCACCCAAATAATGCGGCTCACCCAAACAACTATATATATCAATGTGAGATAGGGTTTTTAATAGGTGTGCGGCTGATTCATGTGCGAAGGCGACTGCAGAGGATTTCGAGCAGAGGAAAAACACGGGTGATAAAGCGCAAGCAGAGGAAGAAATATCGTCGTTCCTTTTTTAGGGTTTTGTGCATCCCTTTGAGAGAGTATTTGTGTGAGGGATCTGAGAGTTTGTGAGAGGGTTGGATTGAGTGATTGTAAACCCTAGTTGTATTCTCTCCCTCTAATAGTAGATCTCCCCCTTCTTGTCCCGTGGAGATAGGGTTTTTAATAGGTGTGCGGCTGATTCATATGCGAAGGCGGCTGCAGAGGATTTCGAGCAGAGGAAAAATGCGGGTGATAAAGCGCAAGCAGAGGAAGAAATATCGCCGTTCCTTTTTTAGGGTTTTGTGCATCCCTTATCAGCCCCAACCACCGTCGTTGCCGTCCCATACAACCACATCGTTCAGATCCGCTGCTCCCTTTCAGACCGTCGTACCGCATCCGCATCGGCCCCGCCGCTCATCATCAGACCCCACGGTCTCGTAGGCAAGATCCTACTTG